TCCAGCGTTGAATATATTTTTTTTTTCCGCCGCCGGATTCAGGCGTTGAATTTTTTTAGTCCTTTTTTTATACGCCCGCCGCTAAACGTTGACCGCAATTGTGATGTCATTAAGGGTAATTATACTTTCACTGACAGTAAATTAACGTGATTATACTGTCACTAATAGTACACTAACGGTAATGGTACTACCTTTGACAATACATTTATGACAATATTATTATTATTTTTATTAGAGTCAATGACAATATTATTATTATTTTTTTTTTATTTTTTTTATTTGTTGACAAGTCAACGTAATTATATTACTCTCGTTGACAGTAAAATACTTGTACACACAATAATATTACCGTCACCACATCAATATTACTATTTTTTTGGGATTTTTGTTTCGTTAAAGTTATTCACGGAGTTACGTAATATTATTACTGTCCATTATTGTAATATTACTGTACCCACAATAATATTACTGTGGTTGACGGTAATATTCCTGTTGTTATAGTAATATTACTGGCACTCGCAGTAATATGAATTCTTTTGCCTTTTTATTATATTTACCTTTGTTGAACGATCAACATATTAATATTACTCTATTACACAATAATAATGAGTTTGGTTTTGTTAATATTATTGTGCCAGAGATTAATATAACAATATTACCGTATTAAACTGTAGTATAGTTAATTTTACTGTGTTTAACAGTAATAAAGTTAATATTAATATCAATCACAGTAATATTGTTGTTTAAACGAGGGGCAAAAGGATGTTAAGGGAAAAAAAAAGTCAACGCCGGAGACCGGCTTTGACCGCCGGTCAATGCCGGAAACCGATGGCGGATAAATCAGGAAGATGAAGAATAAGAAAAAAAAGTCAACGTCGGAGACCGGCGGTTAACGGCAGTGGCGGGAGAAATTGTCCATAAAAATATTTTTGGGTTAAAATTGAATAATTTGTAAAATTTGGGGTCAAATTGAGGTTATATTAAATTAAAGGATGAAATTGGAGCATATTAAAGTATGAGGGACTATTTTAGTCTTTTACAAACTATGGACCATGTGTGGTGACTTTTTTGTAAAATAATTTATTTTCTGGATCTCATTACGAATAAATACCCATTAATGGGATTATTTATAAAGTGCCATTTTTTTAATAAGAGTGAAATAAGTCCATCAATGGGTACTTATTCATAAAGGGGTCAAGACAATAAATTCATTTACAAAAAAATCCACCCATGGTTCAGAGGTTTGTAAAAGACTAATATAGCCCCTCATATTTTAATATGCTCAAATTTCATCATTTAATTTAATCTAACCTCGATTTGACCCCAAATTTCACAAATTATTCAATTTTGACCCAAAACACAATTTTTATGGACAATTCTGTCACCGCCGTTGACCGCCGGTTTTCGGCCTTGACTTTTTTTTTTTTTTTTAACATCTTTTTGCCCCCGTTTAAATAGCAATATTGTTGTGGTTGACAATAATATTAACTATATTACTGTTAAACATAGTAAAATTAACTATAGTACAGTTTAATACAAAAATATTGCTATATTAATCTCTAGCACAGTAATATTAACACAAAAAAAGTCATTATTATTGTGTAAAAGAGTAATATTAATATGTTGACCGTTCAACAAAGGTAAACATAATAAAAAGACAAAAGAATTAATATTACTGTAGTTGACAGTAATACTACTGTAACAACAATAATATTACCATCAACCACAGTTAAATTATTGTGTTTACAGTAATAATACAATGGTAAACAGTAATATTATTACGTTACTCCGTTAATAACTCAAACAAAACAAAAAACCCAAAAAAATAATAGTATCAATGTGGTTGACAATAATATTATTGTGTTTGCAACTATTTTACTGTCAACGATAGTAATATAATTACATTTACTTGTCAACAAATCAAATAAAATTAAAAAAAAAACCAAAATAATAATAATATTGTTGTTGACTCTAATTGTACTGTCAACGACAATACAACTACATATGTACTGTCAACGGCAGTACAATTACGTTAATGTAATGTCAGTGACAATATAATTACGTTAATATATTGTCATATAGTATAATTACTGTTAATGACAACACAATTACGGTCAACATTTAACGGCGGGCGTAAAAAAACGGATAATTTTTTTATGATAAAAGCGGATGACTCAGGAACATCTTGCGCGCTATGTGATCTGGTATGCATTCCCACAGACGGCGCCAAAATGATGATGCTAAATACTTAGATCATCTTGGGTAGTGTAGTAATTGAGTTGGGAGAGCAAAGCGGATCACTAGCTCAGAAGTTGGATGGTCCTGAGGTTCCTGCGAAAGCAACACACGTGAACTAAGCACGGGGTTGATCCGGCGGAAACCCCTCCGACGCTCAAGTCTGATTTACGGATCGTGGAGATAGTAGAGAGGATGTGAGCTCTAGAATAGTTATGAATAATAGAACGTACCTTAACAAATAAGTGAAAACCTCTATTTATATGTAGTTGATTGGGTTGAGTTTCCTTAGTTGGGCCCAAGCCTTATTTGAAGATGTTTGAGCTTTAGTGTTGTGGTCTTCTAAATTGGGCCCGTGACCCAATGAATAAATAAATCGTAGGCCCATTAGGTCGGTCCAATTAGACATATCACCCGTAACAAAAATACTATTTCCGATGGAATAGATATATATAATTTGAAGTCATATGATTTTGGCGGCTTCGTTTGTTCCATTGCCCAGTAAGACATTATATAATATGAACCAAAGATGTCGATGAATTCTAGCTTCTCATTTATCTCAAGATAAATATCCGCGAAAACAATCAGTCCAATGAATCCTAGAGTGCAGATTAGGAGAATAAGAGCTATGAACCCTCCTTATGACGACTTAAAACTGAATATACGAAAATGTCGATCAAAATCTAGAACGTCACTGCCTACTCGTACTTGATTGATTCCAAGCAGGTTCCTAGATTAATTGCTCACTTAGTAGTGATAACCCCCTAAGATTTTTTTTTTAATAATGATGCATCAGACCACTTTTCCCTTATTAGTGTTACTTGATGCCTTTTCCATTTCATTTTTCTAGTTTATGTTTTATTTACTTATTTAAAAACATTAAATATTTTTTTAAATAACTTTTTTTTTTAATTTTTAGTTTTTTTTTAAGAATCGATAACAATATTTTCGAAATCAACTAATGTATGTCTGAAATCAACTATAATATTTCTGAAAATCAATTACAAATATTTTTTATTTCATTTTTTTTTCAAGCAAGTTTATCAAATTGACAAATTACTACATATTATTGAAAACAACAAAAATAGAGAAGTCAACTAGAAAAAATCGAAATCAACTAAAAATATTTCGAAAACAACTAACATAACAAACAACATAACCATAAATTCACTACAAACGAAAACACTACATTGTTGTAGGAGACACCCAACCCAATTTTAACAACATCATCCGAAAAAAGAAAAGCAGAACGATGGCTGCATCGGGGAAGAGGTGGAAGGGGGAGATGGCGACGTGGAGGGGCCTCTCTAATGGTGTAATTGTAAATCCTAGTCACATATGTTGATTTCTGTCTTCTACAACCAAATCCCTCGCATGATTCCGATGTTGCAGCGGTGGCGGCTGCAAAATCAAAGACCAGAGACGACGCCGACGTTCGGTCTGTGGAAGATATGGCGGCATGAAGAGAGAAAAGGGAGAAAGAGAGAAAAGGAGAAATAGAGAATAATGGTTCGAACATAGAGAAAATTATAGTTAGTTTGAATAGGTTTTGGGTTAATATGGACGTGACAACTAATAATTTAATAAGATATTCAATAGGCCTGGTTATTACAAATAAGCCCATGCATGGCGGACAACTTATTCCAATATAGGTCCATCCACAAATCTCTTACAAAAAAGTACATACAAAGTTCAAAGTTGTGTAAAGGACTAATATTCATCTCACATTTTAATATATTCCAATTTCATCCATTTAAACCCATTTAACCCTAATTTGACCCAATCTCACAAATTATTCAATTTTAACCCCAAACTTAATTTTCACTCCAATTTCGACCGTCGTAGGCATTAACTTTTTTTGCACCGGCGATCAACGCCGGTCTCTAGCGGCGTTGACCATTTTATTATTTCAAAACACTTTTTGACACTGGTAAAAATAGTAATATTAACACAATAGTATTGCTATATTACTATGTAGCACAATAATATTAACACAATAAAATTGCTATATTACTATATAGCACAATAATATTAACACAACAAAATCGCTATGTTACATACAAATTAATGTGTAATATAATAATATTATTATGTTGACGGGTCATAAAAACAAACAAAAAAAGCCTAAAATAATAATATTGCTGTGGTTGACAGTATTACTGTAGTTGACAGTAATTTAGTAATATTAATGTGGTTGGTAGTAAAATTATTGTGGATTACTGTCAAGTACAATAACACTACTATCAACAATCAGCGGCGGGCTGGAAAAAAGGGAAAAAAGAAAAAGTCACCAACGTCGGAGACCGATGCGCGCGGCAACGGAAAAATAATATGAAGAAAAGTAAATTCAAAAAAATAATAGAAGTCAGTGCGGCCGGAGACTGACTGCTCAAAAAAAGCAGAAAGTTTGATAAATGTTGTCATGGACCTCCTCCCAAAAACTATACATGGTGTGGGAGGTTGTAACTTATAAAACAAAAGGAGATGAATATAAGTTTTTATTATTTCGATGTTCTGGTTTAATTCTTTCAATTTGATGAATAAAACGACTCAGTTTACTTAAAAAGTAATGAATAAAAAAAATAAAAATAAAAATAAAAATTATTTAATACATAACTTTAAGTTGATGAGTAAATTATGGGAGGATGTCTCAGGTGAGAGAGTTTTCAGGCGATCTGATCCTAGAATCTTCGAACATACATACTACTAGTATCGATCGGTGCTTGAAAGTTGCAGGAAATAATTTGCGTACACATTACTATAAAGAGAAAGGATGTAAATTGCACATCAAAAGCATATCTCAATCACTCTATTCAACATGAACAGCAACATTAGTGTGGATACATACATACATAAAATACATTAATGATGAGAGTTTAATTCAAACAAAAGGTAATTCAATTACGCTCACACTCCCACTTTTACATGCATGCTTTCATTTTTTATTCATTATTTTATATTATATTTTTTTATCTCACACACTATCCCACAGAGCACAGTAATAATTTAAAAACTAGATGGATACAAACATATATGCCAATCTTCTTCAGTTTTGAGGCTTGCCTTGAGGTTGAGCATCCACCTTCTGACCGGCGAAGCTACAGCACCGGCAACCACCTCTGTAGTAGTTCCGCCCACAACAACCATAGCGGCAGTAGTTACCACGACCACCGCCCCCATAACCACCACGGCCGCCCCCATAACCACCACGGCCACCCCCATAACCACCACGTCCGCCACCATAATTACCACCTCCTCCGGGATATCCACCACCATAGTTACCGCCTCCTCCGGGGTATCCACCACCGTAGTTACCGCCATATTTGGCATCGTTCACTGCAGCTCCATTTGTCTTCTCAGCTGAGTTAAATTAAAGCCCCACACAATTAGGCAGAGTTTCAATAGTTAATTTTTTTTTTTTTTTTTGGTAACTTATAAGTTTGATATTTGAAATAAAAGAAGAATATAACATCATGTGTCATGCAACAAGTTAAACACATGTTCTCATTTAAAAATTGAATCCTCCCTTGTCAAATAAAGCTATCATTAATTTTTCCAAACTGTTTTTTAGACTGTATTAGTGTTAGTATTAGTATTAGTATTAGTATCTAATAAATAATACAATGATAGTCGTTTGTTCTAAAGTTGACTAGTACTATACGTTTCAGAATAAAATTTTGACTTGTAAAATGTTCTTAAATAGTTTCATGATGCATAACGTACTGCTGCATGTACCTTAAAAATTTCGAGTAAATATTTTTAGTAATTAATTGGTAATTAGAAAAATATTTCGAACCATACGATACTTACAAGTGTCAACGGTAGTGGAAGTCTCGGCGAGATCTCTAGCCGCAACTTCTGATGATATAAAAAGAACCATAGCCAAGAAAAGGACAAGAAAAACATGTTTGGGTTTGGAACCCATTTTTGTTATAGACTGATAAGAGTGGATGAGGAATGTGTTTGGGTTGGCTTCTATATTTATAGACAAACTAAATGTAACACATAGTTAGAAATGTATATTATTAGATGAAGTTGAAGATATAATTGCAGTAGGCCCAAAAAGAATTGGTTGGTTGTTGAAGAAACGTCTTTATTGAGTTGATCAAAGTCCACCTTATCTCTAGATTCATTACTCTAATTTCAGGCAAATATTCATATATTATCATCAAATCATTATATGAGCAATGTATGTTCATGTATATATGTCCGTATACAAAAATAAAAAAAAATGGGGCCTTCATATATTATTTATTATAGGGTAAATTACAACCATCCCTGAGCTATGGTCAAATTACAAAACCCCCCCTCATGTTTGGGTAATTACAACCACCCCTCAACTATAAATATTTTTACACGTCCACCTTTGCTGTTTCAAATTTAGTGGAATCTTCGAGATTATATGGAATATTATCACTTTTGTACCCATTTTATCCCATTCGAACTCTACATTTTGAAGCAAGATGATCATAATACGTGCTTTTTAGCTTGTATATATCAGATTGTGGTGCATCAAAAACTGTATTTTTACCGAAAACGACTACAAACTAGAGCACATTCCACAAAATCTAGATGATTATGTAGAATTTGACACCATAAGACTGGAGTTGTAAGAAAAAATCATAGTTGAGGGGTAGATGTAATTATCCAAACAAGAGGGATTTTTTCGTAAATTGACCATACATAAGGGGTGGTTGTAATTTACCCTTTATAATGTTATGCCCATTAATTTCTCATCAACTATCCATGTGTGGTGTCATAATAAGTAATATCTACCATATATATTTTCAGACCCCGCTGTACTGCCCAGTATTACTAAGGAGGACAAGTTGCGGCAGTTGGCACAGTTGCATCGGATTTTAATTCCCTACAAACAATTGTCAATCCGAGTCAACCGGCGCCAAATGCATTAACTTTTCCTCCTTGGTATTCGGCCGGGCAGCTGAGCCTGTACATATAATGAAATTATTATTGTCAAATAAGTTGAAAGTTTAAATTATGTATGAACTTTATTTTATTCCTTATGCATATTATTTAGATGGGGTTATTTGAGATACACTATACTACAGAAGAAAATACATGGGACTAGATATATCCCTAAAATTCATGTTTTGAGATATCCCTTAGCTCTTTTTGTACCGAAAATACTTTTCCCTCACATAAATCAACATATATTATTATCTAGACGTCATTAAGTAATTTCGTTTTATGTATTTTTTTTTTAAATAATTTTTTTCTCGATAAGCTTACTACGTCGAATATGAATATACATGACTATAATCATATTCTTGTTTCATATTACCGTTTTTTTATATTTTTAACTTAAATTTTATATCTCCTATTATATAGTATATATAGTACAATCATATTTATCAACTTATATTTAAAAAAAAAGGATTATTGCCTATTATCTACGAAAAACTCTAATCAACATTCACAAAAAAAAAAAAAAATCATAATTTGAATATTGTTATGACAAGTCAACTTGTAACCCACAGTAGTTTAGATGAAGAAAAAAAACATGTAAATTCTTCAACTAAAACAACCATCAGCATCATTATACATTAGAAAAACACCTACTGATCTTATATATGACCATACATGACTACATATGACTACATAGCTGATTCTATTCAATTGACCTGTTGTTTGCCCATCTTCTTCAGCATCATTGACTTTTGTGAAAGCGGAGGTGGGGACGGCGGTCGCAATTATCACAATTATAGTTTACATAGTCGAACATAACTGTAATCATATTCAACAATAGTCATATTCAAATATGACTATAGTCACTGTTAATGTTGCTGCTGAAACTGTATGTCTTTACATCTGGGAAAAAAAATCAAAACACATAGAGATAGAGATAGAGATACGGGAAGGTGATGACAGCGGCCGTGAACGAAAGAGAGAGTGAGGGAGGGGGCAACAATGGTAGTGGTGTACAGATCTGAAAAAAAAAAAAGGGAAATCCAGAGAGAGAAAACGAAAAAGTCATCTTCCTCGCACTCGTTTTGGAAACATGCAACGAAAAAGCCATCTACAAGAGAAGGAGAAGGAGAAGGAGAAGGAGAAGGAGAAGGAGCATCGTCTAGCGGCGCCAACAACTCTTGTTCTTCGCCTCTGGATCGAGAGAGAAAAAAATAGAGATTTGGGTGGGAAATTGAAAAGAGAAAAAATATGAGCAAAGAAGAGAGAGGGGAGGCGTGAAAAGAAGAAGAGAAAAATGATAAATGAGATCAGGGTTCTTCAAGGGTATTTTAGAAAATTAATTTGTTATGAGGGTTAGTTTTAAGGGGAATGGGGTTTTCTCTAATTACGTTTGGGAGGGGAATTTTCCTTAACTGTATTTCGTAGATTAGGGGGGTCTTGCTAATATTTCCCATATATATACTACTAACTTCACCCGTGTGATGCAGGGAATTGAATTTTTTTAGTGCAAAAGTGAAGTCAATTTTATGTTTAGAGAAGAAAAAGACACTAAACCTAGAATAATAAAGGTGTATGGTTAGGGATTTTCTCACAAAAACACCCTTAAAATAAGTCCACTATAATTTTCTGGTTTTGGGTTGGGCCATAATACATCTGTTTTGGAATATTAACATTTTGATCCATACAATTTCCGCCCATAAAATACAACTACCGACCTTTCTCATCCCTAACCTAATTTCCTTCACCACTCGTTCCAGCATCGCCTTTTTCTTTCTTTGCCTTTTCTTCTTTGTTTTCTAACCTAATTCCGCCGAACCACCGCTCCTTTTTGAAGTCGTCATCCGCTCCTTGCGCATTGCCTTCTTCTGTTTGTTCTCTAACCTAATCCATCAGATACGCGGCGACACCGCTCCGCCTCTCATTCTGAAGCGGCCGCCGGTCCTCGCAAAGAAGATTGGTTTTCTCCTTAATTTATTCTTCCTTGCAAATCTTGTGAAATATTTCTCGCTCCTTTCAAATCCGTGAAAAAATCCTGAAAAAAATATTTTCCAAAATTTCTGAAAGAATCGGAATTGGAATCGGAATCATTTTTTCAATTCCGAAGTAATTGGAATCGGAATCGAAAACCGTTTTATACTTTTGAAAAAAATTGGAAATCTTTCGAAATGGTCATTTTCGATCTGATCCTTCCGATTTTCACCCCTAGTCTAGTCCTATTAAATTATAAATTAATATCTTATCTCAAATGGCCCCAAATATATTTTCCCAAATCGAAATGAAAATGCGAATGAGTTAGCATGGTATCTGATATGCCTAATTGGTCCAATCTAATGGGCCTACAATTTCTTTATATAATAGGTCATGAGCCCAATATTGAAGACCACTACCACCGAGGCGCAATCACCTTCAAGTAAGGTTTGAGCCCAACAATCTCAACTAAGGTATAAATAAAGTTGAAACTCATTCCTTAAGGGACAACCTATTATCTGACTAATACTATAATTCGTATCCTCTCAACCGTTTCTACTATCTGCACGTCTGACTTGAGCGTCAGAGGGGTTTCGCCCGGATCAACCCTGGCCTAGTTCACGTGTTTTCTGTTCACAGGTATCTTAGGACCATCTAGCACGTGAGCTTGCTCTCCCAGCGCCTTCTACTTCAACTACTCGTGGTGATCTATTTTTTAGCATCATCAGTATCAATTATAAAGTAGGGGTTTTTGTGCATAAGTCCCTAACCAACCATCTTTATTATTCTAGGTTTAGGGGCAATATCTCTTTCACCAATAAGCCCATCCCTTTAATATTTATTATAAATAAAGGAAAAAATCATGTATATGAAAAAATTACCCCCAACCATTTACACCAAATTCTTCATTGTAACCTCAATTTAATCAATTTTGATCACAAAAATCCAATTTTGACTTTTTTTTCCAAAAACTTTTTTTTTTCAAAACATATTTTTTTGCCGCAGATTTCCGGTGTTGACTTTTTTTTTTTTCATTCCGCTGCCGGATTCCGGCGTTGTCTTTTTTTTCTCTGTTTTTTCCGCCGCCGGATTCTGGCGTTGACTTTTTTTAGTTTTTTTTTTTTTTACGCGCGCCGCTAAACGGTTGACTGTAATTGTGTTGTCATTGACGGTAATTATATTGTCACTGATAGTAAATTAACGTAATTATCCAATCACTGACTGTACATTAACGTAATTGTACTGTCGTTGACAATACATGTGTACTTATACTGCCGTTGAGAGTACAATTAGTGTCAATGACAATATTATTATTTTGTTTTGTTATTTTTTTTTTGTTTGATTTGTTGACAAGTCAACGTAATTATATTACTGTCGTTGACAGTAAAATAACTATAAACACAATAATATTACTATCAACCCCATCAATATTATTATTTTTTTGGGTTTTTATGTTTTGTTTGAGTTATTCACGGAGTAACGTAATAATATTACTGTCTATTATTGTAATATTACTGTAAACACAATAATATTACTGTGGTTGACGGTAATATTACTGGTGTTATATTAATATTACTGTCACTCACAGTAATATTAATTCTTTTGACTTTTTACTATGTTTACCTTTGTTGAACGGTCAACATACTAATATTAATCTATTACATAATAATAATGAGTTTTGTTGTGTTAATATTACTGTGCTAGAGATTAATATAGCAATATTATTGTGTTAAACTGTATTATAGTTAATTTTACTTTGTTTAACAATAATATAGTTAACATTACTGTCAATCACAACAATATTGTTGTTTAAACGGGAGCGGGAAAAAAGATGTTAAAAAAAAAGTCGAAAAACTCAATGCCGGAGACCGGCGCGGTCAACGCCGGACGGTGGCGGAAAAATCAGGAAGAAAAAAAAAAAAAAAAAAGTCAACGCCGGAGACCGGCGGTGACGGATGAAATTGTCCATAAAAATATTTTTGGGTCAAAATTGAATAATTTGTGAAATTTGAGGTCAAATTGAGGTTAGATTAAATTAAAGGATGAAATTGGAGCATAGTAAAGTATGAGGTGCT